TATTCTCTCGTCATTCTAACTGTGCAATAGAATACTGCATCCACTTTTTAGTTTTCACTCATTTCATATAACAAACATATGTGAAATATGGTGCTTCAAATATGACTCCTTGAAAATTAGGATTATTCTGGTTGAAACTCACTTCAATTATTCGGGATTCTAACATCATGTGAAATCTGTAAGAGTGATCTGAACATGTATGCCTGCCATTTACACTCTTGCTGTCTCTCATTGGTCAGCTGTATCACTGGAAAATAGCACACATTGGCATCCATTCTCCCAAAATCATGTACACAGGATTCCTTCGTCATGTGAAACCGTGAATAAACATGTGTGCCTGCCACGTATGCTCTTGCTGACTCTCATTTGTCAGCAAACTCGCTGGACACAGCACACAATACTGTTCTAAATGGAGCACGTTTCCAGGAATCCTTGTCACAGTTTATGTCAATAATTATAGTTTTATGGGCCCCTCTGATTAAAAATTTATAGGATACCTCAAAGACCCTAAGACCCCTTTAATTTCGATACAGTTAATGTGTTGTAAATGATTATGTTCTGGGTCGCGATTGGTCAAGACATTTCCATAGGGTCACACTAGTGTCAAATGCCAGGACATTCTGCCTGGAAATGATGACAGTCGGTAATAACAGGACCACTCCCCATCCTTCTCATGACTGCAGGATGCTGGAAAGCGGTGACTGACCGGGATGAGTTGCATACTTGTTGCACTCAACTCCATGGGGATCATCCAAATTAATGATACCAGTGAGTGGAAACGAGGATTGGGCATTCTGTTGCGGATTGCTGCAAAACATTGATATCCACTATAAGAGTGTTTTCCTGGTAATTTAGGTGAATAGAATCCCATGGGCGACTTCAGTGCCGAAGTATTGTGACACATGAACTACAATCTCCACAAGTATTCCCTGCAGAACCGTTGTTATTGTACATGTTGTAGACAAACTTGTTTCCGATGTAGGAGTCACGTGCTGGGGAGTAAGTGGCGCTGCACTTTACAATATTGACAACACTTCTCACGGCCAGTGTGAAACTGAATGAGACCTGCTTTGACATGGAATTAATCTACTCTGTATTGATTATGTGGCTGGATTTCAAGTTAGGTACTTCACTGAAGTGATATTGAATGGTGTTAATTCCTCACAAATGTTTGACTCTTTATTTCTGTCAATTGGTTTACAGATTTTTGTTCCCAAACTTTAAGGTAGACATGCAAGGGTTGAGTTCTGAGCCTCACACAAAAGGAATTGTTTAAGAGTGAATTCTTTTGTTCTGGACATTATATGAGGTATATCCACAAAAACTTGAGGTTACTGAGCAAATTGTTTTGCTGTGTCAAGTAAGTGAAGTAAGCAGGGGGACATAATTGAACGTTTTGAACAAATAAAACTGACCCAGCGTTTGACCTTCAGTCAGTGCTATCTTTCTACAGCTTCTACCTGTGTGGGTATTCAGCCCCAGAATTTGTCCCTAGCAATCTATGCTTATGTAAAAGGGTACTATGTGGATCGGATGGTGAGACTCAGTTTGATTGCATGTCTTTGTGCTTGTGGATCGTTCTTCAGTAGTGTTGGGTATGTCCTGACTTTCATTTTGCAATTTAATGGTTCATGTATTGTGATTCATATTACAATATTCTATGTGTTCTTTCATCTGTAATTTGTTATGAATCTGAATAAAAATGGTCCCATACAAAACTTGCCCCGCACATTTTAGACAATTCGTCAACCATTTTGTTGGAGTGAATTAGTGAGCGAGATGTATTCAAGGCCGCTTTTAACAGTTATATCACGGCGTGTCAGCTTGATGTAGGAGGAAAGCCCAAAGTGATGCAGGTCTCAGATGTTTACTACTTTGGTGAAACCCTCGAGCACAGGTATGGTGCTGACAAACCTAGAAACATAATCGGGGCGAACGGGATTCGAACCCACAATCATAGGTTTCTGGCATGCCGAAGGGACGCAACTCTGACCAGCGAATTGCAGCACCTTAGACGACTGGGCCACCCGTGCCCCCCTTTTTGTTGGATGTTGATATGGTCACAACGCATGTTTAATAGACACAATATATACAGAAAGTTGGTCGCGAAAGGTTTCGCTGTTATGATCACAGGAATCAAGTTACTAACTTCTGAATTTCATAATTTCATAATTTCATTTCGACTTGTCACTTATTTGAACTTTGCCAACAAGATGAAAATATGTTTGATTTCGAAAAAAGGAATTTACCAGTATTTTGCAAACACATTGTGATACATGGTAATGCTGTGCTCATATATTGCTCATAATATCAATCATCACTGGATTGTCTGATCCAGACCTGAATATTTCAGGTCACTGTCATGTAGCTTGAATATTGCTGATGCGATAGTAAACACCAAACAAAAGCATGTACAGAAAATAAACAAAAGCATCTACAGAAATAAAAACAATAAACAAAAACATTTACAGAAAATAAACAACAAACAAAAGCATGTACAGAAAATAAACAACAAACAAAAGCATGTACAGAAAATAAACAACAAACAAGAGCATGTACAGAAAATAAACACGAAACAAAATCATGTACAGAAAAAAAGCAATAAACATAGGCATGTAAAGAAAATGAACAACTACAGCATGTACAGAAAATAAACAGCAAAAAAACATTTACCGAAAATAAACAACAAACAAAAGCATGTACAGATAATACACAAACACAAGCATGTACAGAAAATATACGACAAACACAAGCATGTACAGATAATACACAAATACAAGCATATACAGAAAATATACAACAAACACAAGCATGTACAGATAATACACAAACACAAGCATGTACAGAAAATATACAACAAACACAAGCATGTACAGATAATACACAAACAAAAACATTTACCGAAAATAAACAACAAACACAAGCATGTACAGATAATACACAAACACAAGCATGAACAGAAAATATACAACAAACACAAGCATGTACAGAAGCAGTTGACCCAGCTGTATCATGGGTATTGTTTCACTGAAAGCCTCTGATGAAGACCAGCAAACATCTGCAATGAACAATGACTCAAAAAATGAATTCATTGTGAAAATAGTTATTTTCAAATGGCAATGAGATTTACAAGATGTCTTGTCTGGTACTGGATCTTCTGAGAGCTAATACCATTGACTGGCACTGTGCTGACAAGTTAAGTGATAAGCTACAATAACTTGAATAAGTCAGTTCATGTCACTGTTTGTCAGTGATACAATATACTTTGATTTGTTCTAGTATTCTCTGGGCGGTCGGGTAGCCTAGTGGTTAAAGCGTTCCCTCGTCACGCCGAAGACCCGGGTTCGATTCCCAACATGGGTACAATGTGTGAAGCCCATTTCTGGTGTCCCCCGCTGTGATATTGCTGGAATATTGCTAAAAGCGGCGTAAAACCGTATTCACTCACTCACTCTAGTATTCTCTATAAGACCATAAACCAGAGAAAACTGCAACAACTTGGAAAGCCCTGTCAATTACTCTCACTAGTATCTCATTGAAACCTACACAGAATGATGTCACACTTTAGAATGTGGTGTGAGCTTCTATTAGCAGAAATAGTTATGTGACAATTGTGAGTTCCTTCACACTTGAACATTTTCGATATATGGCTGTGTAAGCTTCTGATGACTCATGTTATTTTCATGAGTTGGGAAACATTTGAAACATTTATCACTGGGTTCCTGTCTTTAAAATATTCATAGGTCCCTTCGTTTCAAGTCTCATCATTCACATCACAGCACCATCCTGCTCATTATCTGTCCAAGAGACAATGATATGTGATATAACCATGGGAACAGTGCATGTGCACTGAATATGACCAAATGCTCCATTTCAGGAATTACAATAAGTAATCCAGTTTTGTGTAGTATTCACACATTAACAAAAGAAAACCATTATGTAAATCATTTTGGTGGGCACGGGTGGCCAAGTGGTTGATGGTACAGTTTGCATCACTTAGGTTGCCTCAGTGTTCCAGGAACCTATGACCATGGGTTCGAATCCCATGTTTGCCCTGATTTTTTCTAAGTTGGTCTGCGCCACAGCCTTGGTTGTAGGCTTCACAATCATGACATTAGTGGTTAACGTCTAAGACCTGCTTCACTTCAGGCTTTCCTCCCAAAGTATGCTTACCCGCTGTGATATGACAGGAATACTGTTCAGAGTGGTGTTAAAACCAACTCACTCTAAGACCTGCTTCACTTCAAGCTTTCCTCCCACAGTATGCTGACACACTGTGATATGACAGGAATACTGTTCAGAGTTGTGTTAAAACCCACTCACTCTAAGACCTGCTTCACTTCAAGCTTTCCTCCCAAAGTATGCTTACCTGCTGTGATATGACAGGAATACTGTTCAGAGTGGTGTTACAACCAACTCACTCACTCTAAGACCTGCATCACTTCAGGCTTTCCTCCCAAAGTATGCTTACCCGCTGTGATATGACAGGAATACTGTTCAGAGTGGTGTTACAACCAACTCACTCACTCTAAGACCTGCATCTCTTGGGGCTGTCCTCCAACTTCACGTTAACACACAAACTGAAATACTGCTTTAACTAACTCACTTAGGAATACTTACATTAGCTTATTGTTCTGAAAATCAGATAAAGCAGGTATTTAGCTGAACTTGTTGATCAAAGTCTCAGGACTTGAACTATACTTGCTCTTCTTCAATGAAATAATGCTTAATTGATGTCTGCAATAACAGAGTAAAAGGCCACACGATGGTGGATACTACACAGTACACATGTCCGGCGCATATGACCGTTTCCGGACCCCTGCTACACACTAAAACAGTTTAGCTCAGAACAGAATGGATGTTTAGTTTTCTGAGATGAATGAGCCTCCCAGTGGCTTAAGTGTTTGCTTGTGATGAACCAGACTCATTGCATTGGTATGGCTGCACCGTGGTGCAAATGGTCCCAAACCCTTCTCACTGATTAACTCATGTATTTTCAGATTCACCTTTCCGCATCAGCTTACATGAGTTTGTAAAGAAGAACACTAGTTTGGAAGCTGGACAGTCTTGTGTACTTCTGGATCAGATACCCCACAACAACAAAGCTACTGTCACAGACCACTGCAAGGTACATTTTGTTGCAGCATCTGGAAAAGAATTTGAATTTGTATTTACATTTTTGAAACTCCTGAACATTTTGGGGAACTGTTTAAACTTTAGGGAAGTGTTAGGTGAGTTTTCCTAGTTAGGAGTTTGAAGTAGTACTGGTTGACCCCAATTAGACTGTATGTGACTTGCCTTGTGCATTGTGAATGGCTGTGGTGTGTGTGTGACAGGAAACTGACACAGACCACCGTCTGTCTCAACACACATCGCAATTCCAGCCATTCAAATCATTATCTTCCATTTCTATGCGATAACTGATCCCAAAATTGGACAAATTAGTTTTCTACTGAACGTCACTGCATGACGAGCTTCGGTTCTCAAGCTACCTTATATGGCTGCCATGTCTGATGGAATTGATTGTTCAACAGCTTCCCCAGCGATCTGATTTCCTGTTAGTACCGTATTTACAAAATGGGTGATTAAAATCCACGGCAATTAGCTGGCTCAATTTCTTTTCCACGCCGTATAACCTCATCATACCCCAATTCTTTGTAATTAGGAAACTTCTGCCGACGACCTATTGTTTCACAAGCAATTTCCGTTCCAGATATTAATAAATCTTTCTTTGGAATCTGCATTTCCACCTGAAGGACAAATTGCAGGAAGAACAGTTATACATTGCTGACACACTGTTAGATGTATTGAACGAAAAATTGCAATCATGTCTTATATATCTAGGTTTCTGAGGGGTTTGTCTCGATGGTTTATCGACAAATGCCAAGTTTGACTCCTGTGGATGAAGCCTTACTTATTGATGGGTGGTTGAAGGGTTTGCTCGTCACACAGAATCCCGGGTTCGATTCCCCACATGGGTACAATGTGCGAAGCTCATTTCTGATGTTCTCTGCCATACAGGCGGTCAGGTAGCCTAGTGGTTAAAGCGTTCGCTCGTCACGCCGAAGACCCGGGTTCGATTCCCGACATGGGTACAATGTGTGAAGCCCATTTCTGGTGTCCCCCGCCGTGATGTTGCTGGAATATTGCTAAAAGCGGCGTAAAACCATACTCACTCACTCACTCACTGCCATAATATTGCTGGAATATTGCAAAAAGCTGCATAACACCATACTCACTCACTCACTTAGACTCATTCAATACACCGTTATCATTTCTGGTGTTAATATTGTCTCTATGGCCGCAACAAAGATAACTGTTCATCATTATCATGCATAACATGTTCCATTTACTTGATGAATGCAAATATAAATGTAAGCATGCTTGAAGTAAGCAGGTGAGGTGATCCAAATAGTCTGCATACAATGTATCTTAAATGTCCCCAAAGAGATGCCATCAGATCGTTGTGGTAACATCAACATGATTAAGCACTCTGTAAGTGTTGTTTCACACAGAATTAAGTTGAGTTATTTCTCTTCACAGTTTTGAGTGAGTGTTTGGTTGTGGTTTGCACAGTATTTCTACATAGCAATCAATACAGTGTTCTCTTTTCTGCCAGGCAAATGACTACCCAGTTGGCCATTGTGACAGAAGCAAGTACTCCATCACCGTCAAGATTCCTGACATTCAGTGCGAGACATGCTTCCTGCGACTCGCATTCACAGTTATAGATAAAGAGCGTAAGTCCTAAGAGCCTCTGTCTCACATTTCCTTTGTTCCATTTTTTTCAGTCAAGAATCATTGGTGTTAGATTTCTTTGTTGATTAACGCCGCACTCAGCAATATTCCAGCTATTTAACAGCGATCTGTAAATAATCGAGTCTGGACCAGCATCGATCCACGCATTTGGGATACGATGACGTGCATCAACCAAGGCAGCGAGCCTGACCACCCGATCCTGTTAGTCGCCTCTTACGACAAGCATAGTCGCCTTTCACTGCAAGCATGGGTTGCTGAAGACCTATGCTACCATGGATCTTCAAGTGGTGTTAGAAACCAGGGCCCACTTGCACAAAGCGATCTTAACACTAAGATGATCGTAACTCCCATACTTTAACATAGGCTAACGATAGTTTAAGTGCTAAGTTTGCTTTGTGCAAGTTGGCCCAGATGTACGTCCAACAGTTGATCAGTATGACATGAGTGTAATATGTGGATCGTACTAGGATAGTACTTGAATAGTACTTAGGTTTAACCTGGAAATACCTGCACAATATCTGGCAAGTACTTGTATTATATATAATATCTGGATAGTATTATGATTATGACTAAATTTTCGTTGAGTTCATGGAAATTCCTGCATTCTGATTAGCTGAATTGGTCACGTGTTATTGCATTCATTTCCCAATAAATGTAAAAAATTATGCCACGCCCACCGCGGCGCACTACTTTTATTACTGCGGAATGTCGGGGAATCCCAATATTACAGTCGAGGAAATTCCCTTTCTGCTCAAGTGTATCGTCATGCACAGGACATTTAGCGACTTTCATGCATATTCATTGTCCAAACTACCCTTTGAAACCGAAGGCCGAGAATGAATGAAACAGCAAACGTGCAGGCTCGCTCGCCTGTTTTTTTCCCGCTCGCCCCGGTTCAACTTTCATGTCTTCTGGTTTCATTTATTACTAGCATTTCTCCAACTGTGTTTTACCGTAATCAGGGAAGTAATGTTTTAATCACGCAGTAAATGACCATGTTATTTGAAACAGCCGCCTTCTCTCGGACATATTTCTTCCGGTTTGTTACAGTCTGACTGTTGCAGTTCTTTTCGCCTCTTGCCTTAATTGACAGGTCCAATGAACATTGTTTTAATCCCACTCTCCGTTGATTGGCTACTGACTGTGTAGGCGTGTCAAGTTATGTGCATAAATTAAACGATCACCTGATCCATGTCACGCCACTGTATGTATTCCTACACCTGGAATGTTTATCAATGTCGTCATTTTTGTCTGTTTTGATATATGCAACTGTTTTGGGTTAAACTATTGTAGATAAAACATGTTTTACGTTGTCGAATTTAATTATAAGCATTGACTGTATATTTTTTAGTCAGATTCAAGCAGTTGACCTAAGGCAGCCAATCAAATTAGAGCCATGGATACTGTCCTCATGTATAATAAATTTATGATATAGACAAAAGGTTTTGGTTAAATCATGTTTTTCTGAATGTTTTAAGCAGGAAATCACAACCTGTATTTAAGATGTGGAACTTCATGGACGACAACTGTATTTTTGTTAATTTTATTTATTGCCTTTTATAATTTATTTCATGATTTGCTTGAAACATCTTTATTTTGCTCTTTGACATGTTTTATTGTGACCTGTTGTCAAAACATGTGTCCCAGAAATTCTATTGCAACAGCATTGCAGGAAATAGTTAATAAATTTAAATCTTTTGATGAAAATGATAAATTGAAATGAAATACATATTTTCAGACATTGTGAAAAGTGATAGATTTAATAAATGAATGATATAACAGGTAGGTTCATAAATTATATTTTATTTTTACGTGACTACTGCCTGGCGTGTACCACTGTACACTGTCATCAGATTGTTACTTCATAAGCCAGGTGAGCTACAGAGCCTTGTGACTGTGTGTTTTAATATTTGACTTTTGATTTTATTGGGACACCACTACTTACATTGTGTTTCATATGTTGCACTTAATATATACTGAACCACAAAAGTTCCTGTGACATTGAATAAGATTTAATGCAAAGTTAAGTTGTTCACCAAATCTGAAACAATTTCGATTTGCAACAGACAAAAGACTCCTGTAAGTGTTCAAATGGTTTAATTTGCCATACTGACTTCAGAAAATGTGTGATTTCATAAAAAAACCATGAACATACCAAAATGTCAATTTACAAATCAATAGCGTCGGTGTCCACCTCTGGTTGCGATGCAAGCAACACATCTTCGTCTCATGGAATGGACCAGGCGTCGCACAAAGTCCTGTGGGATATCTGTCCATATCTGCTGGAGCATGTTTCGAAGTTCCTGGAGTGTCTGTGGAACACATGGTTGATGTCGAAGGCGCCAATCCATCTCATCCAACGTGCTCGAGTCGGCCAGCGGATGACATTCACATTGTTTTGTGGGAAGAGAATCCTGAAGAAGTCGAGCAATATGAGGATGGGCGTTGTCATGTTGAAAGGTAATGCCTGGGCCATGACGACACAAAAACGGTAGAACAACAGGGCCGATGATCTCGTCGCGATAGAGCTGTCCATTGAGATTTCCCTCTACCACTATCAAATGGGTCCTCTGTCTTGCTGTAATCCCACCCCATACCATAACGCTGCCGCCCCCGAACTGATCTTCTTCCATGACACAATGATCGACGTAACGTTCACCTCGACGTCGGTACAGTCGTATCCGTCCATCACTGTGGCTGAGGTGAAAACGAGACTCGTCAGTGAATAGAACTTGTCCCCACTGCATGGCCGTCCAGCATAGACGCTGTCTGCACCACTGTAGACGTGCTTGACAGTGATTTCCTGTCAAAATGGGACGTCTGGCAGGTCTTCTGGCGACAATCCCTGCACATCTGAGGCGGCGACGTATGGTTTGTGAAGATATTCGTCAAAGGCCAGGGATGCTTCTTGCAGTCACTGTTGCTGGCTGGAATCGATTTCGTAGGTGTGTTGTTCGAATCCAGTTGCCTTGTGGATTATTGGTTACAAGCGGCCTGCCACTCCGAGGATGGTCTCTGACTGCATTCGTCTGTTGCCAACGTTGCCATAAATACCAAATGGTCTGTGGACGTTAAATTGTCTTAGGTAGTGAAATGCATGGGGCTTGCATAAAAGTCAACTTTTGCATGGAATGTGTCTTGATTGCGTTTTTGTGACTTGATTCCATACATGTACTACAATATTGAAAACCAAACTTTACTTGTTTGAAAAATACACTAAAATATTGGTGTCACAGGAACTTTTGTTGTTGAGTATAGTATACCATGCAAAACAGTAAGGTATATTCTGTTTTGAGGTGAAAAGACACCGATGTCTGGCAGTGAAAGGAAATGAGTTGTGTGGCAAGAACATATCCGTAGAAATCAAGCTCACAACATTGTGACAGTCATGAAGTATTTGACCTTGGACAGCACATGCATGGGTAGACTAACATTTAGTCTCTGAAATCTTATATTACACAATATCCTTCTTGACTCAGAGTGTGGAATAGAGCTTGCTTGAGCTGGCTAGACTTGCTTTTGTATGCATTTCTAGATTATTATTTTTCCTTAAAATAAATATATTCCACGGTCATGGTGCAGGACTAATGCATGGGCTGTATGTCAGATTTGCCATTGTCACTCAGACTCAGTTGTGAACTGACAAACATTGTTTTCTTGGAACCAAACGCACAAAGATTAAGGAAGCAACAGCATTGATCATGTGACTTTTGCAGCGTCTTATGTGTCATAGCCATGTTGCAGGTGGGCCAAGTAAGAATCTTTTTCCCCAGAGGCTGCACGTTTTTTCCTTCTGTTATCAGCAGATTGTGGGCCCAATACCAAGAAACACATTAGGTCGATGATCGATGCCGTTCAGGACGCCCAAGGGTAACAACTCAAGCTGAGGACAGATTAATCGAAACAATGGCTTTAAAAAATCAGTTGCAAACTGCCACTCAGATAATAGGACCGGTTGCAACAGGCAACTCGCGTAAGAGTACATGCCCAGACGCATTTGCGTGCATGACGCCCACGTGCCGTCGTACATCTTACTGCATGTCATTTGAATCAGACGTGTCTTTTGTGGAGGGGACGTGGATAATCACCGTTAGGCTACTGTCATGTTTTCTGACAAATCATGGTTCACTCTCGACTTCCATGACCAAAGGAATGGAGTTTAGAGACATCCTAACAAGCGTTTTATCGGCATTAACGGATGGGGCCATAATGGTATGGGGTGGTATCACAGTGACTGGCAGAACTGCTCTCCATACTGCCCATGGCAGAGTCACAGGTCAATACTACTATCAGGACAACATCATTGCACCACTCCTGTTGCTATTTGCACAACGTGTTGGGCATTGTTTCATCTTTCAAGATGATAATACACATGCTTATCGTGCCAGGATTGTGACCCAGTTCCTTCAACAGCAAATCATCCATGTCATGCCATGGCCAGCACTCGGCCATGACCCTTCCCATATTGAACAAGTCTGGGACGTCATTGGCAGACGTGTACGTCAACGTCAAAATCCACCCACCACCATCAATGAACTAAGTGTTGCTCTCACTGATGAGTGGAACAACATGAGTCAAGCTGACCTTGACTGACTCATCAGAAGCATGCCTCAAAGAATTTGTGTATGTCTGGCCAACAGAGGTGGTTTTACCCGATATTAGTGTTGTTGGTTGCAAAATGCATATTTCAAATTTGAAACCCCGACCTCTTTAATGGCCTAGTGTGCCACCATCTCATCAGAACTAGCAGTAGAACCCATTCGATCTGATCACTCACTCCTCAGCAGATATGATCATATTGTTTTAATTTGCTAATATGATATAGAACAGAAGATATTTTTTGAAGATTCCCACTTTCCCCTACTTATTGTGCAAAGTATATTAAAAACTACTGAAATAGATAGAGTTTTCAGAAGTCTACAATGAAGGAGGATATGTACATAGCTGCAGAAGAATCGTAGATATTACATACTGGCACTAT